CTCCCTCCCTCCCTCCATAACATTTCAATTTTCATTCTTTTTTCCCTATATTATCTTATACTTTAATTCTTGGAGATTATTCGTTTTATTTCTGTTCTATTTTCGTAGTTCAACCCTACTTTTCTTATATTCACTTTTTTTCTCTCTAATATTTCATTCTCATGCATACTCGTGCGATTCATTAGGTTAACAATTCATCTCGAGGTAACGACTTGCTTCGTTACTTAATCATCCTTTTAAGTAAGTTTTCGTCTCTTCATTATCGTCATCTTCAAACCCCAGACATCATCAAACAAACGTCCATTCGCTTTATAAGAGGACATTGATTTATTTAGCCATCCCTAATTGTTCCAATATAAATCATTACCTCTTCACCAAGACCATTAAACTCAAGAAGTGCCATCAAGAGATTCCTTCCGTGATATAAATACTCCAATATTCGCCCTCAAAGTGTATCTAATATTGAACCAAATTATTCAGGAGATTAAAAATCTCCCTATATAAGGTTTTCTTTGTGCCTAAGATTCCATTAATTCATAACTTTAGTTCAAACGGTGATTGAAGTTGTTCAGAGAAGGGATTAAATGGGATCAATTAAGGTCAGTGGAAAATCTCATTAACAGGTTTAGTTTTCTTGCGGTGATATTCTGAAGACGCAGCATAGAAATATTTTCAAAACTTGAAGTCTGTCATCAACCGCACGCACAAGCCAATTCGAAGGCCTATGAGATAGTAGTTTAGTTTATTTGTCATAATATAAACAGATACATTTTATAAAACTTGAGACATACAAATTTTGTGGCTGGCGAAGAAAACAGAACTTTCGTCCCAATTGATATTCGGTGAGCGTATATTTATTCTATCATTTTCGAAACGAATACCGATTCAATTAAGCCGGAGTAGAAATTATTTGAAACTAAAAATTAATCATGATGATGGTTTTTTTTTTCTATTCACAGATCGATATGATCATCTTCGATAAGACGAATGGCTAATGGTTTCCGCCAATCGAAATGTAGAAGATTAAAACTATCGGCCTTCAAGCAGAGTATAGTCATAAAAATAACATTACACTCCTCGAAGAAAAAGCAAGTAAAACGATAAAATAGAACAGCACTAGAGGAACTAATCAAGATATAACTCTAGGAATCAGAAAGAACTGCAAACCAAAGCAAATCAAATCAAACCAAGTCAAATAATATTACACTCCTTGAAGGAAAACCGACTAAATAGGACAGCAAGTAAAATGACTAAATAGAACCGCACTAAAGGAATCAAGGAATCAATAGGAATCAAAAACAACTGGGAATCAAAGTCACTTTTTTACTAAACTGAGACATTTTGAAAACAGCTGTTGTTTCGAGTCGAGATAAACAGAAGCGTGAAGGAGTAATCATCCAAGCCAAGTAAAAACAAATATTTGACCTTCTAATCACTATGGACGGCGCGCGAACTGCCGAGATCTATCTGAATCTGACTGATAACGTAACGGCGACAGCCCCCCTTGATTCCACATCAAGTCACGTGATCTTCAAGATTTTTTGTGTAGTGTCATACATTGTGATTATTATTGCAGCAACGCTAGGCAACATTCTGGTATGCATCGCCTTCTTCATGAGCCAGACACTTAGGAAGTATCCTACCAACTATTTCATACTGTCTCTCGCTGTTTCTGATCTGCTTACGGCTACATTGTGCATTCCGTTTGACGCGGAACAAACGCTGACCAACTGGCAGTGGGCTCATGGTCCATTCCTGTGCTCTGTTTGGACTACGGTTTATTTATTCGCGGTGCCTTCGTCCGTGTTGAGCCTTCTTGCCGTCAGTGTAGATCGCTATAAGGCGCTCAGTGATCCATTAAATCGGTTCAGACAACAACGCTTCATGACACGAAAGCGCGCATGCGTGATAATTGCTGCGCTTTGGATCTACTCGTTCGTCTTCGCTCTTGTACCTGAGATAGGTTGGAAAATGTACGCAGAGAATTTGATGTACGGAATGTGCTACTTCAACACAACGGAGCATTATTCCATCATCAGTTCCTTCCTCAACTTCGTCTTCCCCGTCATCGTCATGTGTATACTCTACTTCAGAATATATCAGATCGCCAAGAAAACGCGCAGAGCACACCGAGGCGCAAGCGATATATCGAACTTTTCGTGCAACAGGAACTACGCACGAAGCCGCAAACGCCTGAACAAGAACATCAAGACGACGAAAAATATTCTGATCGTTGTGTGTACATTCTTCTTCTGTTGGGTTCCTTTCACGGCGTACAGCCTAATCGGTATTTTCTGCAAGSCATGTTACATGTCTACACCTGAGGAGATGTCCAGTATCCTTCTCATCCTTGGATATTCTAACTCTGCTTTAAATCCTTATCTTTACGCTTTCCGAAATAACAAGTTCAAGGAAACTTACATCAAGGCTCTCAGGACTCTAAGTGTCATGCGCGAACGAACGTTTTCGTCACGCCGAAGTTRTGGTCACACAACACCTAGCGTGTTATCTGACAGTAACTGTCACGCAAGAAACGTGCAGCTGTCTACTTTGAGATCTCAAGGTAGTTTTCAAGCCAACTAGACGCCATAAAGATGATCATGGAAACAGAGAACACAGAACCGGAAATGAATTTGGAATTTTAAAACACTTGAACATGGGATATACAATATGGAATATAAAAGTGTTAACTGACAAGATTGTTCTAAGTCTTCCGTTACTCTTCAAACTTATGCATTAAAAAACCCTCAAAAATGTCAGATCAAACTTGTCACTAATGACGGGAGCGTTAGCATATCATAATGAATAAAATACATTTACTAACTACCTCGCTTCTCATTAGCCGAGGGCTCTCGGCCAATCCATGATATCGTGTAAACTCGACATGATAGATACAATATCATTTCCTGAAGATATTATTTATTATATTTATTGCGTCAAGTTCATTCAAGGTCATTATGGAGATTGAAAATCTTTGCTATTTCTTTGAAAGCAGAATCAAATATTTAATCTTATACTCATTAATAATTCTTATTTGTACCACGTGCAGTAGTTTGAAACCCCCATCAAATACGACCGCACTCATTTCAAAGTTCTAGTACTTTGATATATTTCAAAGTCCTACTACTCGGACTTTGAAATATTTCAAAGTACTAGAACTTTGAAATAAAAACAAACATAGCAAAAAGAGTATAAGATGTCATGTCAAATACTCGTCATTGTATTCTATTGGGTACGCCTCGGCATTTGAAATTCCACTCGGATTTTGAAACCCCAATAAAATACCGCAACTCGTATTTGAAACATTATTTCTTAGTTTACAAAATGTATAATAAAACAATTATTGAATTCGGTTTTCGCATGATATCGTAAATTATAACTATATATAATTATATATTAAGATATATAATACATTTCAAGCTTGGTAAACAACATGCAGCATTGTAGCATGCAACAAAACCAACACCAACCTTCTTGAAATAGCTGTATATATGTACAGATGTGTATACAGCTATTTCAAAAAGGTTGAATACTGAATAGTGCATACTGAATAGTGCATTCTAAGACCAAAGGGCATTGTGGGTCTCGTTAATTTGAAATAAAAAGTAAGTATACGGCAATTAACTCTCCACATGTAGTTAGTATATTGTTTCAGATGAAATACACTAAAAATAGAATAAATTATTATTAATCCTACTTTAGACAATGCCACTATGACCCACAATGCACCTCGGTCTTGGAATGCACTATTCAGTATTCTGTATGCAGTATTCAACCTTTTTTGAAATGACTGTATGTGATAGAATCTTAGTGTTAGCGACGCCGATGTGATTATAGTACGTATTTACTGACATAAAAAAATATGAAAAGTATGAAATATAATATAGACACCATATCAACTTCATCACAAACATAAAAAATATGCAGCAATAAGTCAGATAGCTATCGAATATTATACTGAGGGTTAGCCTTAGGTTAGCCTCGACTTTGTATAGAATATTCATATGTTCCAGTGAAGGTCATGAAATTTCCAAGTGTTCGTATTGTTGTACTTGTGCATTTTTTTATTTTACCGTTGGTATTTGTTAATATTTAGACACTGATTTGAGGCTAACCCTGTACAAATGAGTCTGTAATTAAGAAACACAACGCTAATTTAAACCTCGAATTAACTAACAAAATCGTAGAAATTAGTGCAAAAATTCAGAAGTCTACAGTCTACTGAATTAACTAATGTTTGTGCAAATTTTTGGAATTTCTTACAAAGAATTTCAGGGATATATGTATGCGCTCTACAATTTTCATAAGGCTGTAAAACTTAAAACTGGCTATGCTACGTCTATTATAGATAGCCCACTTATCAAAGCAACGAACTTTTCCTCACATTTTGTGAATCTATCATTATTGTATTATCTGTGTGAATAAACTTGAAACTTATATGGGACATTGTCAAGTCTTCGTCAATTTCACTAAACATGCATTCGAGAAACAGAAAGATGATTTCTGTGTTAAAAAAAGGCGGCTTGGGGGGTCCCATGACACCACCCTGGATTCGCCCCTAGATAACCCTGAAAGACCTCACGTCATCTTTGTCACCATAAATAAAAGGGCTAGGGCGAAGGTTTGCATTGAATTTTAATGCCAATCCGAGCACGTGCGTTTTAACTAGTTTGAAAAACAACCAAGCCCTATTGTTAATGTTTGATGGAGGGTTTGAATTTCGATGGAAAACCTGTCCCGGGTTTTGAATTCAGCCCCGCTCTCCCCTGAATAGACCTTTTTCGTGCAGTGACAATGTTTTCCCAATTCAGCGTGACGAACCTCCAGGGGATTCATTTTCTTTTGTTTTTACTCTTCGAAAAATTAATGAGTATCCCAAAGGATACGAAAGGAATAGCGATGATATCCCGACGAGTTGCAAAACAATAGCTCTTCATTTTCCCAGAGGTTTGCCACGCTGAATTGGGAAAACATTGTCACACAATGAATAAGGTCTATTCAATGCTGAATTCAAAACCCGGGACAGGTTTTCCATCGAAATAGAAACCCTACATCAAAAAAATAGAAACAGAGCGTGGTTGGTTTTTACTAAAAGGGGGAAAAAACTCTTTTGTAAACAGTACTTGACATTCGCCTACTCTAAATTTGCACTCACTTTTAGTGCAATTAAAACACTCGACAAAATCGTTTCAGTTTAATTATCAAGCACTTGTTGTCTCAATATTATAGACTCGTGTTCTAATGCTATGGACGTCGCGCAGTCTGAAGGCCTGAGGTTATACAAGCTGCTGATCAGCCCGTGGGCGATTGAATAGCCCTATTTAGCATGGGCGTAATGTTTTCCCATTTAAGACCACATATATTGCATAACATATATCCGTGAAAAAGTTAACTAACAAAATAATTTCAAAAGTTTCGTAGGTCTAGGGTTTACTTAACTTATACTAACTTGAGCAATTTCCTTACAAAGCAGTGGCGGATCCAGGACTAAGAGGGGGGAGGAGGGGTTCATTTTTGCAAATCTTGGCACAACAACGTTCTCTTGCATCATCATTTTTTCCATGAGGCACATCACTGACCTAGGGGCGCTCCTGATAAGGATAACCTATCCACCAGTCCCATTTGTACGAAGGTGCTAATTTTCAAAAAGCGGACCTACCATACTTTTATTTATTTATTTAAAAAAATATAAAATCCAAGGTACCAGCCGTTGGGGGGTGGGGGGGTTATTTGCACCCAATGAACCCCCCCTAAATCCGTATTTCACAGATATATAGTATGCACTCTTAAATTCTCCTGAGAATTGCTGGTTACACTTGACGTCATTTCCTGTCTCGTGCGGAATATTTATCCTAAATCACAATTTTTTAATTCTCGACTTTCACATCTCCATAATGCCTTGCGTTTTTAGGGGGTAGCCAATCAAAAAACTGTCCCAAATTGAAAGGTTTCTTAATTGAATTTATACTATACCTGCTTTTATCTGTACAATACTGAATATCAGTCTATTCCAAGTTATTTTTGCGTGTACAGATCATCAAGAGTCTTGGTCTTGCAGAAAATGTATTGACTTACGAAAAAATGTTTCAAATTTACCTTAAACGTCTTCAAGCTTCTGTCTTTTTCTGTTTTTTATTTCATTTTATTTTTGGATACCAAACAAGGTATTTTCAACATTGTCTGATCAGCCTTCAGCAAAATAAGTGGGTTGTTACCCTCTGGTTACCCCCCAAAGACGCAAAGGATTATGGGGATGTGAAAGTAGAGAATAGGATTTTTTCTGGTCGACAGCACATGGTGGTCAGTGTTTAACTATCATTTGGAGCAGATAATGAGATTCAAAGACTTTTATCAGCTGAGTGAACTTCACACTATTTATATTATAACTATTAAAATATTTATTTTAAAATATATTTTACACCTTCTTTATCCGTTGTTACAACTACTACTATCCCTCCCCACCCTGAATTTTATTCTCTTCGATAGGAAAAGGATGAAAATTTTTTGGAACTACAAAATATTAGGCCCTTCTCACACCTTGAATATTACCCCCTAGTTTGTGTAGTTATACACATATCAAACCACTTATTTATTATAATCATACAGCTTCTCATTAATCCCATATAGGTAACTGCCCAATTATTTTCTTAATTAGACAGGTGTTGTTGATATGGGATTATTTAGGCAGCTATATAATTAATAGGTAATGGGATTTCATGCTCCCCAATCAAGAAATAATTAGACTAGAAAAATTCCTCTGACTGCCAAATTGGACTCAGCCCAAGGCCTCATCCAATTTTGAAAGTCCTCRGAATTTCCCTCGTCCAATTACTTCTTAATTGGACAGCACGGAGTCCTATTACATATACTAACTGCAAAATACAAACTCATTAAACCTCCTCACCACCCCCACCCCCCCTCCTGTCACCACCCCAGAGAATTGAAGTTCTAACCCCAGCATGTATGTGTTACCCTCCCCACCTCTTAAAAATTCAAATCCCCTTTGAGGAGTACGGAATATTTACATACATATAGCACCAGCAGCATAGTAGTGAGAGCACTTGCCTCTCACCAATGCACCCTAGGCTCAAGCCTTCCACAGGGCTCAGTGTCAAATCTGAGTAGAGTTGATTGATGGTTCTCTCCCGTGCTTTGAATGCCAATTGGAATTACAGTGGATAAAGAGCAACTCTGTGCAAATACCACTGCTAAATCCTATATTTTTATCTTATTCATATATGACTACATACAGTACATAGAGAGGGCAGATCTAGGGGGATTCTGGACTGGCTCTAGGCTCTAATCAAACCTCCAAAATTAGAACTTCAAACACCTTTTCAGACTCTCTTAATCATATTGAAGGTTCTAGCCAATCCAATCTGGAGCTATTCTCTTTGTTTGGTTGGTCTTTTATTCATTTTTGAACCTTGATACCCAGAATCCTGGATCCACACTTGATACCTTATCCAATTATTTTATTTTTTATATTATATATATTTTTAGCTTTCTCCATTTTCCCAAAGGAGCTTTTCAAATTGAATTCCTTAAACATTCTTAAACTAACAATAATACATAATCAGAATTATTCAGAACAGATTTGTAAAGGGAAATGTTTACGTGAGAGCTTCTAGTGTTCTGATCGCTAATCCAGGGCTTAAGATAGCAACAGGACAGTGGACAATGTTCAGCCAGAACTGAGACTTATCCAGCCAGCACTGAGACTTCTCCAGTCAAATAGTAAGTAAGTAAAGACTTTATTTAAAGAGGGTAACACAAAAAAGTGATTACACTTATAAACTTGTGGCCCTCGCCTTAAGTTTTAAACTGCATTACAATATAAAACTATAAAACTATAAAACATAAAAGTGTAGATAAATATACAAATAGAAAAAAATGCCAATCCTATATAAACCTAATTGCAGGAAGGTTGTCATACAAAAACAGGCATCCGCAGTCCAGAGGGATAGGAATAAATAAAAAAAAACCACCAAGCCAAGCTCTCTACATCAGAAGCATAGGAAATAATCTTTGCCTTTCTGATCATTTTGACCAGTAACGTTTAGTCAGAAATAAGGTATGACTAAGAAAAAAATACTTTGGCCTGTGATCATGACCGGAGTCTGATCGGCCGTTATTTTATGCCCTATACAYATTTTATAAATTTTTGTCATTATGCACTTATCAAATGAAACCCTCTTCCCTGGGKATATGACAGGGAATAAGCTCAGCAAGACCTGTGATTTAACTTGCATTTAACAGAGGCAATGCAAGGGTAAACAGGGAATTTAAAGCAATAACTTCAATAATTTTAACAGCATATGGGAGACTGGAGGAAACCCGGGGGGGACTCCGGGAAAAAAGTACCGGGGATGCTTGTCGTATCTCTTAGGGGTAAAAATTTGAGATTTGGTATCTTTTAGGGTGTTAAATGCGAATTTTTGAAAATCAGCATTTTCTGGTATCTCTTAGGGTGTCGGAAAAGGAGAGAAGCGTGCATCGATATGGCTTATCCTAGGCGCTTTTTATATAAAATTTAAATATTATTTGTTGTGGTATCTCTTAGGGGTTAAAAATCATTCAGCCACGCTCTTTTTTAAAAACTTCCGGTATCTTTTAGGGGTCTTTTTGAAAATTTCTGACGAGCATCCCTGGTACTTTTTTCCCGGAGTCCCCCCCGGGTTTCCTCCAGTCTCCCATATGCTGTTAAAATTATTGAAGTTATTGCTTTAAATTCCCTGTTTACCCTTGCATTGACTCTGTTTGCCTCCGGGGGAGGAAAGTGCTAAATTTAACATTACGTCAATGTTGAATCCCCTGCCCTGTTTCGGGGGTCTGAGGGGGGTTCAATATTGACTAATGCATTAGATTTTCAGAGGCACCTTCTATCATACATCAATACTAAGATAAAGTTGTTAGCCACATGGATCAGCGGTGACATAATATGATCCTGCTTACTGAAGTTTTCAATATTCTGCAAACTCAAACATTTCAAATGCTAGTTGTGAAATGTGTAGTTTCAGAAATCATCCATACCCACCCCACAGAGGAATTTGGAATTTCTGAAGAGTAGGGGGGTCAGAGAAAGAACAAAAACTACAGAGCTTGTATGGAAGAATATTGGAATTTCTGGGGGGTAGGGGGGGTGTCTTAAAAAAATCCTCTGTGAGGGGGTATGGATAATTTTTGGAACTACACAATAATATTGGTTTTTCACTGCTGCCAGTCAAAAACATACAAGGTACAGACTGAATATTTTTGATTGACAGCAGCGAAAAACTTAATTTTAGCTTTCAGCTTGTAACTACTGAGTTTGCAGAATATCAAAAACCACAGTAATATTATTTTTTTACAAAATCGTTGCGATCCATCTTCCAAGCATTAAACCCAACAACTGCCAAACAAAGCTGCCAAAAAATCCACCAACAAAACTGCCAATGTACGGCACAGGAACGTGGTAAAACCCTAACGCAGCACCAGCTATATAACCAACGAAACCAAATACTACTTGCGTGACCCTCTTCGCCTTGAACCGTTCGGCGTCTTGTGCAGTCACGTGACCTTGGCTCTTTGCTTTATGGGCACGAAAAACAAAAAACGCAATAGAAAAGGCATCTTGTAGAAAACCCAATACCAGAGCAAAGGCATGACTGAGGATTAAGATGGTAGTGCTCGCTACGAACCCTGTGCTTGTGCCAATCGCGATAAACGCTCCCCAAAACACGAAGTTAAAGATAAGAAATATAAGTCTGAAAATACTCCAGAGAATATCGTAGACTTGGTAGCTGATACACTTTCCAGTCTTACATTCGGTACAAAAATGCTCACAGTTGCTTGTGAAAGCGTTATAATTGCGTTCACCTATTCGTTTTCTTGCTCTTCGAACGGCTTGATCTCCAGAAAACACACCGCCGCCATCATTTTGATCGTATTCTACTCGGTACACCACCATGCCTGGCTCTAAAGTGAATTTATCTCGAGAGACTTCGGCTTTCGCTGTAAGATCTAAAATCGAGAGTGAGTATTTTCCTGTTTGTGGATCCCCAGTCTTGTGAATTCGCCAAGCATAATCATCACACACTTTCTCGACAATAAAGTGGTGCCAATAGCCGAGAGGGCTTTCTTCCATTATGTGATCTCCTTTCTTCAGCTGATCCAACGATGTAATCTTCGTTCTGGGGGAGACTTTTCCAATCTGAAGCTTTCCGTCCACATAGTCAGGAATATTCTTATAAACTTCTCTCAATTCACTTGGTGCTTTCAACATTTTAAGGTGTAGCTTGTTCGTAGACCTTTGTCCTCTGCTACACGTTGAAGATTCGTTGACGCTGTCAAAGTATACTGCCACTTCTACTTCTACTTCGCAAACTTACAAAAGATTTTCAAATTCCTATTCAAGTCCAAAGGTTGCTAGATCAGAATAATGACATTATATTTACCTCTATGATCAGATACATGATATACTCAGTCATACGCTCATCTCGGTAAATAAATGTTGCCTAGATTCTTCCACAGTCTCTAGCCAATAAAAAGTTTCGTAAGATTTGTATAGTACGAATATAAAATGCTTTTCTATTGGTTGGATGAGTTGAATCAAGTAGCCCAAGCTTGGTTAAATGTATGGGGATTCTTCAAAGATTTCAATAAAATCATTGAAACGTGAAATAAAGCCGCGAAATCTTACCTGATCATTGAGAAAGAGCCCTTCTTTCGCTCTATGTGGTTATTTTTTGAATTTAGCCCGTTTTAAGGATCCCCCCCCCCCCCAGTATTTATTTCTTACTGGTGGGTGAAAAAATCCTGACACCACAGAAACCAAGCTTGGGCTACCTGTGTCTATAAGACGATTTCCTATTGGTTGGATACATTAGGCCGGAAGTCGATTGATTTTGGCATGAACGACAGGCCCAGCACATGATGGAACCCTTGAAGAGTCTTTCTTCTGCGAATATTAAAGAAAAAATCGCTTTACTGATATTGAATTGTCCCTTAGAAGTATTGGAAAAGAAGCTTGATGTGCTATGGAGGAATGCAGCTGTAAAGATTGCTGTTGATGGCTCTGCAAATCATTTGTATTCGTTAATCCAGCAAAATCAGGAATTCCTTCCTGATTCGATCACAGGGGATTTTGATTCTGCGAGAAAAGAAGTTCTTGAATTCTTCAAGGATAAAGGAGTTGAGATTATCCACACGCCTGATCAGGATCATACGGACTTTACCAAGGGTTTAAAATACTTAACATCTAAGCCTAATGCAGAATATGATGTCATTGTGGTGCTTGGAGGAGTGATGGAATCTCGGATGGATCACACATTTGCTAATTTTCATACATTGTATTTAGCTGCGGAAATGACGGATAAGAATGTGTTTTTAATTATTGATGACTCGATTAATATCCTTCTTCAACCAGGTGAGGATTAAATTTGGTGCAGCTTTTTGAATGTGACAAAAAAGAGAACATTTATTCAAATTGTAAACTTTTGCTATTTCAAAGAAATAGAAAAGTATTTCAATCTTCATTGTGACCTTGAGTCAACTTGACATGATAAATCTATTATCTGCAGGCAAACCTATGGATAATACATATATGATATTGAGAAACTATAATCAATGATGGGCTGAGGGCTCTTGGCCAATGAGAAGTGAGGTAGCGAGCAAAATGTATAATAAGTAATATTTCAAAGCCGACAATGAGGACTGGACAGGACTTCAAGTCCAAGCAATTAATTGCATGGACTTGAAATCCTGTCCAGTCCAATATTGGAGGCTTTGAAATGACTTCTCATGCTCATTATTATTTGACTTGGAGTAACTGGAACAAAAAATTAATTCAGTCCTAGGACTGAATTAATTTTGTTCTAGTTACTACACACTGAATTCAGTCCTTTCTCATGACTTTACCAGGTTTCAAGTAACATCATGTGACCCAAAAATAGCCCATTGATTGGCTTGTTTCCTCATGAATTATTAATGAGTATGAGAATTATATGTACTATTTATTCTCCAGGCAAGCATACAATTCGCGTGGATTCTGGTCTTGAGGGTGACTGGTGTGGAACCATTCCACTGGGTCAACCATGCAAATCCATTACTACTACAGGCTTGAAGTGGAACCTAGATCATGAGAGTCTAAGTTTCTCATCCATGATCAGCACCTCCAATACCTGGGCTGAAGGAAGCACTGCAGTGACGATTGACACCAGTGATCCAGTGCTGTGGTCAATGGGGATAAAAATGCCGAAAGTTGGCAATGGTGAAGATGGAAAATGACTTTTTCCTGTCCTGGCAAAGCAATTTACAATTGGCCTTCACTGGAAAACATGAACATTTGGCCCAAAATTGTGGCTAACCTTGAACGATAGAGAACTTGAAACTGGAATATTTTGCAATTGCTGCAGTACAGACTCATTATTTGTTTGTTATGAGTAGCAAGTTTTATTRCAGTTTTTTATCATGCTGATAATTTATATTTTGCTGAGCAAAAAATATTGCCTTTTATGATAGTGAACAGAGCTTGTGTGTGCTGACCCTATCTACACAGCCTGCTTTAAAAGGAACTGTAAGACTGTCAACACTACTGTAAACTATCACAGATTTTAAAAACAAATAAGACCCCTTCTTTTTTCTTAAAAAAAAAAGCTGTTTTAATTTATATATTGCTTAGCTAGAAACAAGACATTGATGAGGAGTAGGAATACTTGCTCTGTTCCTTGAGAATCTGGCAACATTCTGTTGCACACCTGTTTCTTGCATCCRTGTACCCAAGTTCATCATACATTTGAGCCTTTACAAAACATTATAAAATAATTTACAAGACAGAATTTATACAAGAAAGGATTTGTTTAGGTACCCTTGTTTACGTTAAACTGACAAAAATAAGCCAAAAAGTAGTTCTATTTTTTGTAAAAGAAATGATTGAAATAATATTGATAAATAATAATAATAATAAATAATAAATATTATCTATTTATTATATATCATTTTTGATTATTTGATAAAGTACACTTACTATACCAATAGTCATGTTCATACCTGTTGATAAAGGACATCTCTTACTTTATGCATTGCTTCAAGCTTTCTAAATCCAGTGAGAACACTGTCCAAAGTTGGTAGCGTAGATAGAAGAGCTGAAATGTTAATCCAAATACACTGTGATTAATCTAGATGGGCGATGTCGGTGTATTCTAGTACTAGCATTTTCCCAACCAGGGTTCACAATGAGTTGGTACTGTAGGTAGAAGAGCTGTCGAGAAATAACATCCACGAAAATAATGAAGATTTGGAAAACGTGTGCACGTGCTGTGTGTAGTTATAAAGCATGTGGGGTTGACAGAACAGGAGAGAGGTGTTRGGAGAAGCATGACATGTGTGAGAGTGCTTCTAGACATTTCTCGAGTGTCTTGACACTCCTCCACACAGCACAGCAAGCTTTTTTTTATATATGTATTTCTTTTATGAAATACAATTTACAAAAACCATTATTTTAGATAGCAATGATGCTACTGTAAGTGCACGCTTGAGTGCTGTGTTCTCTCCTAAAGCATGCGCTCCCAATTAATCAGAATGGAAAAATTGTTATAACACTTATTTTGATAGCCTCCTCTGCAGCCTACACCATATATTCTCCTTTGGGATCCCTGTGTTAAAATCTTAGGAGATGCCTGTAGAGGAGGCTATTAATTTGACTAGTGGTACACTTTTCTGGTCAGTCTAGTTATCAGTGTGCGTTCTAGTACAAGCATTTTCCTAAACAGATAAGGAGATTCTAAGGATTGAACCTTTGACCTCAAGCTCCAAAATAAGGCCAAATAAGTCTGTTTGTGGGTTGAGTTTAAAATAATTTGCATTAAAGTTTGTTTCTTGAAACCCTAAATTGAACAATTATGGTTGAGCTTTTGACCTAAGCGGTCATCTTCACGACTACAGCTGGAGGCCATTTTCATGACAATAAGATGGCTCCAGACCAACATGAAAACTAACCATCATGTACCTTGTTTTCTGATTGTGGAGGAGTTAGAAGCCAATGACACAGCAAGTTGACACTGTACAAGAAGGAATTGAGCACAGCACTGAATGTACAGGGAACCTGGTCAGATAATAGGAATATTAAAAATGTCATTTCAATTGTTTACTGATTAATTGAGAAGCTCTGTGTAGAGTGCATACCATGTATCCGTGAAAAAGTTAACTAACAAAATTGTACAAATTAGTGCAAAGTCTTGTAGGTCTACAGTCTACTGAGGTCTACTGAACTTAGACTTAATAGAAATCTTAGAGTGTATACCATGTATCAGTGAAAAAGTTAACTAACAAAATCGTACAAATTAGTGCAAAGTATTGTAGGTCTACGATCCACTGAGGTCTACTGAACTTAATAATTTGTGCACATTTGTGCTATTTGTTACAAAGTTTTTCATGGACATATGGTATGCTCTTTTAATTAATAGAACTATAAGTAATTTGTCTTGCAGTGTAATGTTTACCCATTACAAACCAGGAATTATTCCCTAGAGTATCATTTCTTTGTTTAATGCCAGGTTGTGCATGAGAAGACACATGAGTATGAATACAACTACAAAAATTCTCTAGGGAAAGACACATGGCCTGAAATGGGTAAATGTTGCTTCAAGAAGAAGTTAGGTATTTTTTACATTCCAAAATCAACCTATCAATTTATAAATCAATTCATATTATCATTGCATCAGTAAAGGTAGTAAAATATTGTTATTTACCATGCGATAGAAGATGTACCATGCTAGTCTTGACAAGAACAAGTGCTTTGGCTGGTAAACCTAAAAGAAGCTGCAGACAAATAATGATTTAGATAATTACATATCTTTATGCAAGAATCATGTAATATGCATATTTTACTGCCCAATCCTATAGCTATGCTAAATAAATTATTGTTTTGAGCAGGACCACAGAAAAAAGAAAAATAACAACAATCAAGAGAATGACATAAAAGTGGATTATTATTTATTTATTATTTATTATAACATACTGAAACCCTAATCCAAACCCTAACCCTAACCCAAATCAAATCAATAAGGAGAGACCCAACAAACTCAGGGAGACCCAGACATAAGAGTCAAGTGCACTACTGCTACATGTACAACAGCTTTGACTGAGGCACATTT